GGGGGGGGGGGGGGGGGGGGGGGGGGGGGGGGGGGGGGGGGGGGAGCCGATCCCGTCCAGATCGGCGGGGCACAGGTGCGCCTGGCCGAACCGGCTTGAGAGCCAGGCGAACGCCATCGAAGAATGGGGCCGCTGCCCACTCTCGCCTCGCTGGAAGGCCGGGCCGGGCCGGGGGGGGGGAGTCTCGGCGCGGGCGGTGTGCGGGGATCGGATGCCCCGGCGGTCCGTCCCCCGGCCGGGGGCGGGTCCAGCCCGGCCTCGCGCTGCGGGTGCTCCCTAGCCGAGGGGGGGGGAAATATCGTACGATTTCTCCCCCACCCCCCGGTCGCCGGCCCCCTCTGCCCCGGCCCAGCCCGGCCCGCCCCCGTTCGCAAGCCAGGCACAGAGACATGGAAATATGCCAGCCGTCGGTCGGAACGCAGGGGCGCAAGCGCCCGGCCCGGGAAGGAATGCCCAAGCTCGAATGCTCCGACCGCGGTGCACATCACCCGATTCCCCGCCCCCCCCCCCCCCGCCCACAGACAGCGTAGCTCCATGTCGAATCTCACCTCACCCCCCCGTGGTACTTGGGCTCGCGAGGGCGCCGAGCATCGATTGTGTCGCCGACGCGCCTGCGCCCTCCCCGCGGCTGTTGGTAGACTCATTCCCCCGGCACCCCCCCCCCCCCCCGGCAAACCGGCGGTCTGCCGGAAAAAGCGAGGCCTGGTGGCCTTGGGGCTCGCCGGGGCCTGATGCCTCGAATTCGAAAACCCCCCCTCTCGCGGGGTCCCATCGATTCTCCCGCCTCCGGGGAGCGAGGGGTTAGCGAGCTGCGGCATGGGGCCCGGGGGCGGCCGTCCTTCGGCCACGCGCCGGCCCAGGCTCATCTTCCGGGCATATTCCCGGAAGCCACGGCCGCTGAGCTGGAGGGCGTCTGCCAGGCCACGGCCGATGACGTCCCCGGCCGGTAGCCCCGCCCCACCCGCACACTCTGAGAGGCGCGCCGCATGCTCGCCCGCCCGGCCTTTCTTGAGTGGCCTGATCTCCGCCCCCCCCCCCCCCCCCCCCCCCCCTCTGCGCGCGCGTGCCGCGGCTCTACAGGGCCTTGAATCTCAAGGGAGGCCGCGTTTGGCGATGTGGCGAAACCGCAGCCTTCTCGCCGCCGGCTCCGGCGAACGGGCACAAGCTCCTCGCCCCCCCCCGGGCCGGTCCAGAAACAGACGCGAGTCCCAGCCAACATAGGATCAGGCCATTTTCTCCCTTTGCCACGGTCGCACGTCCGCGGGCCCATGGCCCAGGCGCGCGAACGCGCACGGAGGGCAAGCGAGGAACGCCCCGAGAAGCCGGCAGGCGGCCCCCGCCTCCCCCCCCCCCACCGGGAGGAAGGGACAGACATGACAACGCTCAGCCGGCCCCTGATCAAGGGACAGAGACATCAGGCCATTCCTGGGCCCGACCGGCGCTCCCGCCCCCCCCTTGCCGGGAAAGAGCGAGGGAGAGGAAGGGAGACCTTTTCGCCGGAGTCCGGCCGGTGGGCTTCCGGCCGCGGGGAGGTCTCGATCGTCGGAAATATGGTCGGCGCCTGGCCGGCGCATCAGGGAATGCTCCACCATGGACTGACCATCCAGGGCGAGAGATGCGGGGCAGGGGGGCAGAAGGGCCGGCAAGTCACCTCGCCCGCGGGTTCCCCCCTTCGCCACCCCGGGGAACACAACAGCGAGAGCAAAGGCCGCTGGATGCACGGCGCGCGCCCCTAATGCAGGATTAAGCCCAGAAGCACTGGTGCCGGTGGCCCCGATTGATTGGAGTGTCAGGTGCACAGGAAAGGGCCCAATAAATAATGCCGGGGATCATAGCGCGCGGTTTTTCGCGACACTCTCGCTGTTTTCCGCTTCGGCGGCCCTGAGGGCTCGAGGACCGCCTTGCCGGCCCGTGCGGCTTCCGTAGGACCGATGGATGCGGCTGGTCGCGGCCTTCTTTCAGCCCCCCGCCCCCCCGCTCCTCCAGCCCGCCATTTCAGGGAACCGCCGCCCAACTGCGCTGCCGGGCGCTCGGGCCCCGATCAGAGAATGTCTCACCCCTGAGGGCGGCCGGCCATGCGTCCTCGCGGCCGGGGAGCCAGAGGAGAAAGGCCGGGGGATGCGGGGTGCGGGGGGGGGGGGGGGATCCGCATGCTCCAGGGCCAAATGGGTGCGGGTCAAGGGGCGGGGCGCGGGCGCCTCTGCGGGCCACGCGTCCGCCATTCGCCCAGAGCAAAGTGGTGTTGTCTTTGTGGCTGGATGCGTTGCTGGGCGCGCCTGGTTGAGGCTAGTTACTAGTGGGTGTTTGGACGCGCCATCGAAACGGAGCTCGGGGGATATCGCTGCGAGAGGACGTTCGCCAGTTGAACGCCGCGTCCGATGCTTCTTGCCTCTTCGCTTTCTCTCTCGCGCTCTCATTTTGTAACAGCCAGGGCCCTGGGGGCGTGTCCAGGACAGGCCTCGCGGTCCTTCTCTGCCAGTGGCCGGAGCAGAGGGGGACCGTGTCTTCGGCGCCCACACGGGAGGCCGCGTGTGGATTCAACAGTAGGGCTCTGAGGCGCCCCGGAGGCTGGGGGCGAGGGGGAGTTGCAAACAGCGATGGTTGTGTTACTCTTCTCCAGCCGGGGCGCCATGAACTTTCTGTCACCTTGACGTCTCCCCTTGGCCTTGACCGCGGGGGGGGGGGGGGGGGG